TGCTTCCCATTGATTGGCACCGACTTGATCGGCACAGTCGCTCTTTGGCTTCCATTCCTGTCGAGCTCCCCTTTGCCCGCGACCCGCCAGCACCACAACGCCCACGTCGTGCCGAAGCACGAGACGAGGACGGCGATGCACCTGTCGAGGACCTGCGGTGGTCCTCGTGGGCTCGAGGGGGAGGAGGGAAGGGAGGAGAGGAGGAGAGGAGGCGAGGGAGGAGTACAAGGAGGAGAGGGAGGGAGGGAGGCGGAGGGGATGGGGGGTAGGGAGGGAGGGAGGGAGGAGGGAGGGAGGGAGGGCGGGAGGGAGGGAGGAGGAGGAGGCGGAGGAGGAGGAGGAGGAGGAGGAGGAGGCAAAGGAGGAGGCGCGAGGAGAGGAGGATGAGGAGGAGAGGGAGGAGGAGGAGGAGGAGGAGGAGGAGGAGGAGGAGGAGGAGGAGGAGGAAAGGAAGGGATGAGGAGGAGGAGGAGGGGGAGGAGGATGGAGGGGAGGAGGAGGAGGAGGAGGAGGAGGAGGGAGGGGAGGAGGAGCAGGGGGAGGATGACAAGCTAGGGGCGCTCGCGTCATATCTGACGTCCTACCCCTCCCTCCCATCCCTTACCATGGCGTGCATCTCCTCTCTATTCGCACAATCGGATGTCGCAACATGGCATAACATTGCATGGCATAATATGGTGTTGAAGACCAACGCGTAGCATGACATAACATAGCATGACGTGGCTACACCCCGAACTGGTGGGGGGGGCTTCTGCGGCCCAAACATCGACGAATCGTCACCAAATGTGTAATCACTTCCGATGGTTGTTTCGGGAGGCTATTTTCTACATTCGGGGGCCTAATTGCAAGGACCGAAAACCATGCCGTGGCATGTCGCTGGTAACGAGCGGAAGCGCGGAACTGAGGCCAGCGTTGCAGCGGGATCACAGTCCGCAATGAGCGGTAGCCCGAAAGTGAGGCCAGCGCTTCAGCGATAGCAGCATTCTGAAAAAGGGATAGGATGTCGGGTGACCCGCGCGGAGGGCGGGTCACCCGCCGCGCGTGCGCGCGCGTGTCGAATTCTGTATTCCACAATCGGAAAGTCGCCAGGATGTCTTGGAAACTATAATATACCCTTGGCGGTGACGGATTTGATGTTGACATTAACATGGGTTCTGGTTTCAGACCTCCCCACGCGCGTGCGCGTGACGAGTTCTGTGTTGTCCACAATGGGGATGTCGCCATGCTGGCTTGGAAACGCAAGTGAACTCCTAGAAGTAACCGACAATATTTCGGGTGACCTGCGCGGTGGGTGTGTCACCTGCCGCGCGTGCGTGTGGCGAGTTCTGTAATGTCCACAATCGGAAAGTCGTCATTTCGGCCTGGAAGTTTAATGTGAGTCCTTAGGCGTGCCAGTTTGCTTTTGAACTTACCATTTTCACATTTTCGGATATAGAAAAGACATCCTGTTTGTAAGAAGCCTTTAGCGAGCCCCTTGCGGCCACCGAGCGCGCGCTGATGACGTGCGTCACCTGCGCGTGGAGATTTCGACGTTGTCCAGAAAAAGCTGTTGGCAGTGCCCGCGATCCTTGCAACAACAACAACAACAAGTGCCCCCCCTTCTCTTTCTCCTCCCCTTCCTCCTCCTCTTCCGCCTCCTCCTGCTCCTCCTCCTCCCGCTCCTCCTCCTCCTCCTCCTCCTCCTCCTCCTCCTCCTCTTTGACTCCAGAGCCTTTGAATGTATGGCTCTGGGGTGCCGCGCCCTGGAGTGTGGACCACGGGGCCGGGGCGGTGAATGTGCAGACTGTCCCACTTCAGCCAACCCCCA